CTTTTCAATTTCATTAAAGAGTTTGAGGAGTGCTGGCATTAAATCTTCTCTGAATGTCTTGTAGAATTCAGCTGTGAATCCATCAGGACCTGGGCTTTTCTTTGCCAGTAGGTTTTTAATCATGTTTTCAATTTCCATAATTGATATTGGGTTATTCAAGATTTTTATATCTTCTTGATTCAACTTTGGTAATTCATATTTATCTAAGAATCTGCTCATTTCTTCTGTGTTTTCCATCCTCTGTGAGTAAAGATTTTCAAAGTAGGTATCGATGATCTTCTGAATTTCTATAGGATCTGCAGTGTTTTCACCTTTTTCATTCCTTATTGTATGAATTTAAGTCTTTTCTTTCCTTTTATTTTCTTCTTTCTTCTTTCCTTTTTTTGATAAGGTTGCCTAGGGTTTTCTTTGTCTCAATTGTATTTATTTCTGCCCTGATCTTTATAATTTCCTCCCTTCTTTGGGTGTTGGGCTTGACTTGTTCTTCTTTTTCTAAAAATTTGAAATGCAGCCTTAATCTATTTATTTGTTCTCATTCTGTTTTCTTGATATGTGACTGCACCACTATAAAATTTCCTCTGAGGAGTGCTTTCAGTGCATTCCATAGATTCCAGTAAGTGGTATTAACATTTTGTTTGCTTGCAGATATTGTTTAATTTCTTTTGTGACCTATTTGTTGTTCAATTTAAATTGGTTATTTAATTTACATGTGTTTATGGAGTTCTTGTGGTACCTTTTGTTGTTTATTTCCATTTGTATTGCACTATGGTTAGACAGGATACACAGGATAATTTGAATTCCTTTGCATTTAGTTAAGCTTGTTCTATGGGCTAGTATGTGGTCTACTTTAGAGAATGTCCCATGTGCTGCTGAGAAGAATGTGTATCCTGATTCTATGGGGTAAAACACTCTGTAAGTGTCTACTAAGTCCATTTGTTCACAAGTTTTGTTCAATTCTTCTGTTTCTTTGCTGATGTTTTATTCTGTTGACCTATCTATTTGTGTCAATGGGGTGTTGAGGTCCCCCATTACAATAGTGTTGTTAGTTATTTGGTTTTTAATGTCTATTAAGATTTGTCTTATATAGTTGGGTGCCCCCATCTTTGATGCATATATATTTATGATTGTTATCTCTTCCTCTTGGAGTTTTCCCCTGACAAGAATGTAATGACCTTCTTTATCTCTTTTGATCATTCTTGGATTAAAGTTTGCATTGTCTGCAAATAGAATAGCTACCCCTGCTTTTTTCTAGGTTCCTGTCATGTGGAGGATTGTTTTTCATCCTTTGACTTTCAGTCTATGAATTTCCTTTTAAGTTAAATGTATTCCTTGTATACAGCATATTGTTGGATTTTGTTTCTTGATCCACTCTGCCAGTCTGCTTCTTTTGATTGGTGAATTAATTTTGATTGGTGAATATAACATTAATGGTTATAACTGAATGTGCTGGCTTATCTTTGCCATGTTATTTACCTGTTGTTGATTTCCTACTTGTACTTTCTGTTTAATTGCTTGCTCTATGAGGTGGTTCATTACTATTGTTGTTCTTGGAATTGTGGTCTTTTCTTTATCTTTCTAGAATATCTTTCACTACTCTTTGTAGGGTTGGTTTGATACTTGTGAAGTTCTTCAGTTCTTTGTTGTGGAAATATTTTATTTCTCCATTAAATTTGAAGGACAGTTTCACAGGATACATCAATCTGGGTTGGAGATTATTTTGTTTTTGGACCTGTAATACTTCACTCCAAGCTCTTCTTAACTTGGTGGTTTGTGTTGAGAAATCTGCCATGATTCTGATGGGCTTTCCTTTATGGGTGATTTGTTTCTTTTGTCTAATGGCTTTTAATATTCTGTTCTTTTGCTGGATATCTGGAATCTTGATTATTATATGTCTGGGTGTCATTTTATTTTGGTTATGGCTGGTTGAGGTTCTATATGCCTCACTTATCTGTATGCCAGATTCTATGCCTTATTTACCTGTATGCCAGATTCTTTTTCCATGCATGGGAAATTTTCTGCTATTACTTCTACAAATATTCTTTTTATGTCATTTGTATTGACTCTTGCTATTTTGTTGATGCCTGTTATTCTCACATTGCTTCTGTTTGCATCATCTTGCAGTTGTTGAATTGCTATTTTATGGTTGTTTGTTATTTTTAAGAGATCCTTCCTTTCATGATCATTGGCTGCAATGCTGTCCTCAAGATCAGAAAGTTTATCTTCGGCTTCATTCAAGGAGTTTTTCCAGCTTTGAATGGACGTTTTAATTTCTTGGATATCTCTTTGAATCTCTTTCATGCATTCTAGTTCTGTCCTGTATTGTTCATTTAATGTTTCCATCGTTTTTCCATGCTCATCTATTTTTTTTTTTTTTTTTTTTTTTAATTTTTTTGGGCGTTTTTTTCTTTTTTGTTTTCTTTTCTTTTTTTACCTGGGTGATTATTTCTGATCTGATTTCTTCTATGACCTGATGGAGTTGTTTCTTTACCTCAGTTGCAATCATTTCAGAAATTTCAGGTATGCGACTTCCAAGTTCTCCTATGTCAGTGTCTTCTGGATTTGTTCTGGGTGGAGTTGAGTTCTGAGATTGCATTTTGCTCCTAGGTCTTGTCATTTTGAATGTCAGAAGGAAAGTGCTGAGCCACATGCTTCCCAGGCAGCTCACAGAAGGTCTCTAGGGACCCTAGTTAACCTGGATGTCACATAATAGAGGGCAGTGGACACTGGAACTGGGATCCCCAGGCAGATGGTGGGGCACACGGCTCAGACCACAACTGCAGTGGTGGAGGGATACTGGCCTTCAGTACCATGGTCTCCAGGCCATTGATGGAAAGTGTGTGGGCCTCAGTGTGAACCCAATGGTGGTCAGACAGAAGCCACTGTCTGGGGTGCTCAAGCAGCTGGTAGAGAGAGGGCGGGCCTCATCTCCCAACCAAGAGGTCCACAGAGCTAGGGTTGATCCTGTGCCTCTGTCCGCAAGGAGCCTGCAAAACGTAGGCGCAGGCCTCACCTGCCAATGGAGAGGTCCACAGAGGCCAGGGCCGTTCGTGCCCCTCTGTCCACAAGGAGCCTGTGGAGCACAGGTGCAGGGCTCACCTG